AAAGAAAATTATGAAGGCATTGGTCTTGACTTGTGAACTGGCATAAAATTGGCATAAGTGTGAGGAAATGAAAGTAAGCAATAAGATGTACGCCTTGTGTAAATTTCATGGCATTGTAACATTTTATTGATTTTATTTTGAATTCTTTCTGCAGGTGTGCTTAGGGACTGAGAGGGTTTGAATTTCCTTTGGAGTTAAATAGGTAACTTGTGTTACAAGTGAGCAGATTGGTAAAGCTTTAAGAGGTAAGCTCTATGTTTAAGGAGTCTTTTCCTGCTTGAGTGCTCCACCATGGTTAGTAAACTATGGTTGGATTGTATGATTGTTTTTGATGCTTTGTATAAATGCATTCATATAGAGCTATTTGATAATATGATATGAATTGTTCTGATGTGATTTATGTATTGATCTTGGGCCATTGATTGTATAGTACACTGAAGTCTGCTTAGGGTCCTCCCTCGGGACTGACGATGTACGCCTCTGATATTTCTGGTTTCGCTTGGGGTCCTCCCTTGGGAACACGTGCGTTTATTTCTGCTTGGGGTCCTCCCTTGGGAATGACTGTGTACGCCTCTGAAGATATGTATATATGTTTTGTTTAGTGATGATATATGTTATATGTTGCTTTGTATACTTTGTATCTGACTTTCATGCAGGAGTGGGGAATTCTCTATAAAGCTGGAGCTTATTGAGATTGTTATCTCACCCCTTTTGGGGACATCATTTCAGGTTCTCAGATCCCCGGTGAGCCCTCACGAGGCAAGGACACGACCCTTGGTTAGAGGTGTACGACGGACCGGATTTTGAGTAGCTGTAGGCTACTACTATTTTGGAGTATATATACGTTGTTTCGTATTCCATTATTTTGTGGATCATGATGTCTGATCCTTTATTTTTTATATGGCCTGTATATGTTTTGTACATGTTTTCCGCTTTGATGCATGTACAATCGTGTATTCATGCATGCTTATATTATGATGCAGTATTCAGTTATATGTTTATATGTTGGATTTGCATGCTGTTAGACGTAGTGGCATGGAGCCAAGTTATGCATGCGCCCATGGATGGGTATATGATCCTATGTGGATATCTGGTACTTCTGAAAGTATATACTGTATAAATTGTCTACCAGGGTACCTTGAGAGTGGGATTTGCAAATCCCCAGTTGTCCGATTTACAGAGATTACTCTGTCTGATTTTCGTCTCCGTCAAATAAGAATTAAATTAGAATAAGTATGCAATGTGATATGTCATGTGTAAAAGGAATAAAGAAAAGGAAAAAGTTAGCTCGTATTTGCGTAAGTTAAATCTTCCGCTGTTTTTGTTTTTATCATATGTATGTTAATTGAACCGGCTCGAGACGAGGATGTTACAAGGAACATATCTCATAATTGAGAAAATGCTAGGATAGATTGTGAGATGCTGCAATAAAAAAATCTTAAAAAGTTCCAGAGATTAAGGTAAGTTTGTGAAATAGACATACTATTTATATTTCTCGCTAAAACATATCACAAAATCTACACTAATAAAAAATCTATTAAAATAGTCAAATTTTTGAAGGGATAGGATATCATAACAACCGATTAGTGTTACTACCAATTAATTTCATCGTTAGATCGATTATTTTGATCCAACGGTTATATTTATTTCTATCTTTGTATGGTTATGATTCCCCATATTTAATGCTATTTAATGTGAAAGCATTAAATATGAAAAATCATAACCATACAAAGGTATAAATAAATATAAAATATTAAATATGAGAAATCATAACCATACAAAGATGGAAATAAATATAACCGTTGGATCAACATAACAATCTAACGGTGAAATTAATTGATAATTACATTAATTAGTTATTACAATATCCTTTCCCATTTTTGAATATCTTACAATTATGTTTACTTTGTTTAAAGGGGAAGGATATTGTGACAACCAAGTTGTGTTACTACCAAGTGACTACGACATTCGTAACGCTCCAATAATAATAAAGATATTGAGGAGCTGAACTGAATATCAAGGCAAGAAGCTGTAATACTCCAAAACAGTCTGGCCAAGAGCTTCAGTCTCCAAATTAAGAAACTCAGACATTGATCTGAGATACAAATCAGTCCGGCTACGGCTTCGGGCTCCAAGAAAAAGATGAAGACGGGTTTGGAGAGATGTGGTTCTGAAAAAAGGATCACACCCCAATCCGCGATAAAATGAAGACGGGTTTGGAGAGATGTGATCCCGGGAAAAGGAATACACCCCAATTCGCGATAGAGACCCAAGATAAAAATCCGGGATAAATGAAACTCTGGCAAGAAGCCGAGTTAAATATTACAACGTCGAGGTATTTGAACCCTCTTGCCTACGGGCAAGATTGCGAGTTCTAGCCCGGCCTACAACGTCGAGGTATTTGAACCCTCTTGCCTACGAGCAAGATTGCGAGTTCTAGCCCGGCCAATAACGTCGATGTATTTGAACCCGCTTGCCTAAGGGCAAGATAGCGAGTTCTAGCCCAGCCTACAACGCCGAGGTACTTGAACCCGTATTGCAAAAATAGCAAGAACGTGAGTTCTAGCCGAGGTAAATAATCTTGGAAGATAGGGGGATGCCCTTAGATTCTCAAGTTCTTACGAAGAGATCAGAATTATTGCTAAGAAAGCAACACATCCAAGTTTTGATAAGAAATCAGACTTGCAGAATAAAATAAAGAGATCTCTGCTATTTAGAGCTGTCAAAATGGGCCAGCCTGACCCATTTAGCCCTAGCCCAAGTGGGTTAGGGCCAAAAAGCCCACAGTGATATAGATCCACACGGGCCAAAGCCCTATGGGTTAGGGCCAGCCCGCGGGCTTTCTAAATTTTTCATGTATTTTTTACACTACTAAAAAGATCATATTTTTTACAACAAATCTACGTTGCAAACAACAAAAAATTTGGTCGAAAAAAATATTTTTTCGTTTGAATACTTTTCATTGAAAGGCGACGCAATTTTTATCCGATGAAATTTTTTACAAAAATAAATTTTTGTCGAATTTTTTTACCGAATTTAGTTTCCGTCAAAAGTTTTGATGAACATAATTTTTAAATATTTTCGATAAAAAATATTTCAACAAAAGTTTTGACGTAAAAAAGAATTCCGTCAAAAATTTTGACAAAACATTTTCCGTCCAAAATTTTCGATGAAAATGTACCCCAATGAAAATTTCGACGAAAATATTTTTTTCAAAAATTTCGAGGGAAATGTTTTTGTGAAACTTTCGACAAAATTTAGATTCCGTAAATAATTTTGACGAAATATTTTTTTCGTCCAAATGTTTTTCGTCAAATGTTTTTACACAAATAATTTCCGTTGATTTTGACGGAAATGTGTTTCATTGAAAGTTTTGATAGAAATATTTTTTATCAAAAAATTTGTCGAAAATATTTTTTGTCAAAAATTTTCGATGCAAATGTGTTTCGTAGGAAATTTCGACTAAATTTTTTTTCGTCAAAAAATATGACGAAGATATTTTCATCGAAAACTTTTAACGAAATTTAGATTCTATAAAGAATTTTGACGAATTTTTTTTTCCTTCAAATTTTTTTTCAGAAATATTTTTTGTCAAAACTTTGTACAAAAAAAGTTCAATGGAAATGTGTTTCGTTAAAAATTTAAAGAAAAATATTTTTCGTCAAAATTTTTGACAAATATGTTTTTTTTTGTCAAATATTTTGACGAAATTTAGATTTCGTAAAGAATTTTGACAAAATTTTTTTTAAGTCAACAATTTTTACAAAAAGAATTTCGTCACAAATTTTTACGGAAATATTTTTCGTCAAAAATTTCACTGGAAATGTGTTTCGTTTAAAATTTTGATGGAAATATTTTCCGTAAAAAAATTTGGCGAAAATGTTTTTCGACAAATTTTTTTACGGAATTGTTTTCTATTGAAAATTTTCGGCAGAATTATTTTTCCTTGAAAAATTTGACGAAAATATTTATGTTGAAAGTTTCAACGGAATTTACATTCTATCAAGAATTTTGACTGAATTTTTTTTCGAAAAAATTTATGTCACTTTTTTCGTCTCTATTTTTGACGTAATGTGACTTTTGTCAAAAATTTCGTCACTATTATCGACGAAATATTTTTCATCGATAAATTCTGTCAGTATTTGACGCTTTTCTAATAATGTCACATTTAAAAATGATTCATATTTATGTAATTTTCACATTTTAATGCTAAGGATAGATATGTCACATTTAAAAATGATTCTGATTTATGTAAATTGGGTTGAATATTGTAGCCTGCGGGCCAACCCCAACCTAACCCTATAATGAGAGGGCTTTAAGAGGATGGGTTAAAATGACCTCATTACATAAAGGGCTAAAATTTTATAGGCTTAACATTGGGCTAAATGGGCTGGCCTAGGGCTTGAGCCCTTTTTGACAGCTCTAGCTATTACATCCCGGCAACCTGGACAACCAAACTACAAGGCTGAGGGTAACTGTTATGGACCTGACAAAGACCCATATTCTAGAAGGACCAATAAAAGACAGCACCAAAAAGAAGGGAATCTCCTATTAATGACAATCCTATCCAGACAACTAATTAGTTGGACTTGAAAAATATTACTAGGAGGCCCAGAAGTACACTCGTATCATGTGACACTTCTTTAAATAGGGGATTAAACACACACTCTCGGAACCCATACATCGGCTTAAACTGATTCTAGGGTTTCTGCCCGAAAACTCTCCGTGTCTGGGACCAACTGCTTCATTGATTTTCATCTCTTTCATCCAAATCAACAATGGGCAAAAAGAAAGCAAAGGATCCGCAACAAACCCCTCAAAGCGACTCCGTTTCATCCCCTTCCGGTATTTTCAACGCGCTCTTTGGCAACGGGCCGGAACAGACCACCGCCACCGCTGCTGCCGCTTCTCTGTTTTCCGATTTCAACCCCTTTCGTAGAAAGCCTCAACAACATGCTTCGGTTTCTTACCCAACCATTCCCTCTCAAAGCCCTAACAATGGCGGCTCCGGGAGCCACGATTCCGGCGAAGATAAAAAGAGGAAGAGGAAGAAGAACAAGGAGGAAAGACCCATTCTTGATTCGGATTCCGTAACTGAAGCTTCGGAGAAGAAGAGGAAACGCGGTTCCGATGAAAGGGGAGGGGAAGGGAAAGATCCTAATTTGGGTACGCAAACAAAAAAGGGCAAGGTTGTAATCGAAGGTGAGGAGGGAAAGATGAAGAAGAAGAGGAAAAGGGAAGAGCTTGAGAAAGAGTGGGAGGAGAAGAAGTATGGTGTGGTGGTGGAAGGAGAGGAAGATGAAAAGGAAAGGTTTGGGAATAAAACTGTTGGGAGCAAGCGGAAGATGATAGATAACCCAGCTGATATGTTGGTTTTAAAGGAAGGTTTTGATGACGAGGATAAGCTTTTGAGGACTATTTTTGTTGGGAATTTGCCTCTCAAGTTGAAAAAGAAGACTTTGTTGAAGGAGTTTAAGAAATTTGGTGAGGTTGAGTCAGTGAGGATTCGTTCTGTTCCAATACAAGATGTAGGTTTTCTTTTTGTTGAATGTCTGCTTTCGTTTGGTACTCTTAAGGCTTTGATGTTTTTTTATTTTTTCTGGGTGCTAAATTTATGTTTGTTACTTTTCTTGATGAACCAGACCAAAAAACCTAGGAAGGGAGCCATCCTTTCGAAGAAAATAAATGATTCCGCTGATAGGTAATGGGTCTGAATTGAACAATTATCGAATTGCAACTTCTTGTGATTATTGTTAATTGTTTGCAGAGAATGCTGTTATTTTTTTTGTCATTTTACTGTGATTTTATGGATTCAATATCAAGTAAGCCTGCTCGTTTTGGGCTTGGAGAAATTATTCTGCTTTGATTTAATGCTTAGATTTTATATTTTCGAATGGTCTTAAGTGACTTGCAGACAGTCTGATAAGAATACAATCATTTTCATGCATAGGAAACCTTTTTCAGGCATTTCTAATTGACAAATATTGTGTTTTGCAGTGTTCACGCATACATTGTTTTCAAGACAGAGGAATCTGCTCAGGCTTCTTTGTCCCACAACATGACTGTGGTATGCCCTTGTTCCTCTGAGTTGGGTTGGATCAAATATTGTGTTTGGTTTGTATTTTTGGTGAAGACTGCGGTTGACAGTTTTCTAATACTATTGTTTAATTATCTGACTGTAGGTTGAAGGAAATCACATTCGTGTTGATAGGGCATGCCCACCCCGCAAGAAACATAAAGGGGAGATTGCTTCGCTTTATGATAACAAGAGAACTGTTTTTGTGGGCAACCTCCCATTTGATGTTAAGGTGTGTTTCCAATCAAAGGATTTATGTTTGAGGTCACATAACCACATCATTTCTGTGTGTGTATTGTCTAATGGATCTCACGTGATATCCTTTTGTGTAGGATGAAGAACTATATCAGTTATTTTGTGGTATATCCAACCTGGAATCAAGTATAGAAGCTGTTAGAGTCATTAGAGATCCTCATCTTAATGTTGGAAAGGGTATTGCCTACGTGCTGTTTAAAACAAGGGTAAGGGTATGCTGCTTTGGTACCAGATTAGTTATACATTTTGATAAAATTCTTACTTTATGCTCTTTTACAATTTTTAGCTCAAACATGTTATAATTCATCTTGTCATGTGCTTTCGGTGGTAAAACTACAGGGCTGTTCGTGGCTGATAAGCCCATGAAGACGTTGTTTCGTTACGTAGTAACCAACTTATTTGCCTGATTACTTTTAGAAATGTATGTTATCTGTTTATGAAAAGATATATTTTGTGATATAAATATAATCTAGAACATTAGGATTGAAATGGGCAGTTGCTTGTGTTTAGGGTTTGTTTACTTTGGTGTAGATTGGCTGCTTCGTTTATTGTATTGTGTCTTTTTGTGTAACTAGGTACATTTATTTTTGGAAGTTACTTCTTTCATTGAGAATATAAGTGGTTAGAGACTGATATGTATAGGACTGAATTGCTGTAATGGTTGAGTGAAGCTGCATATCGCACTTTTTAAGTCCACATGGCTTGAAAATCTGATTCAGGCCCTGTGTACTAATTTCTGACTATTTCAGTCCACATTGTTGAAAACTCTCTCAGATTTGACAATACTTGACCTTTAGATTTAAGAATGATGCCTCTAGGACATTTTCTTTATGATGAAGAAACCTTTTAAATTGCAAAATTCGTGATGGTGCACTTGCAGTGCACGGGCTGAAACCGCTTCTTTAATCTGTATTGGGAATAAATTTTACTTGCTTTATGGTGACTTTATATATATAAATATATAACATGTTTTTTAATTTCTAAGCAAATGGTTGCAAAATGATTTTCCTTTTCTTTTTCATTTGGGTTCATTGACCACCGACCCCCACTAATTTGAGATAAATTTGTTGTTGATGTTGATGTTGGAGGACTTTTTTTTCTATCTACCATTATACAGAAGGTTTGGTATTAAAGTTGTGCCTGTGTATTCTTGCTCCTCAGTGCTGGACTGTTTGTAATTACTGCACGTATTGTTTAAAATTTGATTGTACAATTAGGAGAAAAAAATTTCATGAGAAAAACTGGTTACTAATTTCCAAATAAGCATGAATTTCAAACTGGTTAAATGAGAAAAACTACTGACTTGTGATATTTTTTATGCAATTAATTATTCTTTGCTTTGCATAATGAATTCCTGAAGGTATTACTGGCATATGGTATTGATATGCGAGTTGGTGTTTGACTGGATCTAATTTGAGATATCTTAGATTGTTTTTATCAAAGGAAATGTTATCGCATGCAAAAAGTGGCATAAAGAATGTTCAAACTTCTTTCCATGTCTTCTCACCAGGAATTCTGCCTATAAATATTTATTAAAGTTGTGTCTTGTAAACGCAGGAAGCTGCTAATTTTGTTGTTAAGAAACGGAGCTTGAAGCTTCGAGACCGAGAGTTGAGAATCTGTCATGCCAAAGCGGATGCCACCCCATCTAAAAAGCCAAACCCATCACCAGCTCCTACCACCCCATCTAAAAGGCCAAACCCATCACCAGCTCCTAGTACCCCTGCAAAGAAGTTGGCTGTGGCTTCACGATCTCCTTCAAACAGTAATAACAGGTCAAACAAAAAAACTAATGCATCTTATCAGGGTCTGCGTGCAACCAAATCTGTTATCAACAAGAAAGTTCATGGAAGAGAAAAACCGAAAGAGCGCATGATGAAAAGGCCAGCAGTAGCTGCGAAAAAGGCTAAAGCAAATTTGTTCAAGGATGGTGGTACACCAAAACAAGCAGGGGTAAAACGCAAGCTTGATAGTCGTACTCCAGATAGCTCCCTACGAAATAAGAAGGCCAAGAAGAATAACAGATAGCGTGTTCCTAATGGTATCAGGGATTAGATTATCTCTGGTAAGCATTGACTATCTCTAATAGCTGATGAGCGAATATGTATGCACCTGAAGAAAAGAATTTACCGTTACTGATATGATCTTAGGCAGTGGGAGATTTCACCGACAGTGTTCTCAGTTAATGACCAGTGGTGGCGAAGGCTGTAGAGTTAAGAAATCAGGAGATAGAGGAATGCAAATTAACTCTGATCTTTTTAATTTTTTACATCATGGTCTCACTTCATATGATTTTAAATTTGATATGTAATAATAGAATATAGGATGCTTTTATTGGGAGGTTATTTGTATGTTCCATTATAAGGCATTGTTAAGGTTGGTGGCATGTCTGCCTTGGAATCAAGCATCTATTATTTCTCCAAAACTTTTGGATTTTAAAAAAGGTTTATAGTATAACTGCTGTTTTGAAGATTGAAGTATTATTCTTTATCCGTCGTTCCATCTGCAATCTTATTTATTTCTGATGAAGGATTTTTTATTTTGGTACGATGATGTTTGGGGTAAGTTATGATTGCTTTCTATTCATTACAATGGAATCTTTTTCTCAATTTGTTTTAAATAAATATGTAAGTACAACAATATATTCAAGTGAATTTAATATTACCTGTTCTTTTTTTGCGTGTGGGTATAACATTTCAAAAACACTTTTTTTAATAAAAAAAAGCAGCTTTTAGGATGGCAGAAGCCTATCCAAACAAGTACTAAATCTTACTTGTCCTTTTATAATCTGTAAGTGGATTGATAAGCAACTACTGGTAGGATTTTTTATTTTGCAACCATATTTGTTGGGATATCTTCGAAAAGAGAGAGAGAGAGAGGTGAATGGTAAAAAATCTTATCTTCGAAACCTGAAGTTTAAGCTCTTTTTTTTTTTTTTTTTTTTGTAAATGAAGTTTAAGCTCTTGAATAAAGGCATATGAATGGTTTAATTATATTTCTTAACTCGTTCTCTGCAAGACTTTTATACAATGAAAATGGTCAAGTATAACTGATGTTATATCTAACTAACAGGAAAGCATTTTGACTATATTATTGTGCATGAAAAAACATGATAAAGCAACTACTAGTCAATAAGCGCATATTGAATACATATGAACAATGTACATAACTATTTCAGCCAAACGTCGTTTCTTGCCACTCTCATAGAGCCCATCAATCATATATTGTCTTGTGTTACTGCAGCACTGCACAATAAATCCATTTAGCAGTGAACCACATTGCAATTGTTTTTTCTGAGATATGTACAAATACTGAACTGGTATTAGCTTTGAGGAGAACGAGAGCCTCATACACAAGATCCTCGGCTTCTGAAATGCTAAGATTCGCTCTTGCCCATCAGTGTGGGTGTAACTGAAACAATACCTATGAGGAACAACGTAGCAATTGAGTTGAAATCATAGAGATCCCCCACGGATTGCAAATCTCCAAGAGCTAACCCAGCCTGCATAAGAAAACAAGTAACTCATAATCAAAAGACAAAAACTCATAATCAAAATTTACAATTTTAGCATCCTATTTAGAAGGGGAGGGGAAAGGGAAAGAAAATTAGACAACACGTGGAGTATTAACAATAAACTAAAGTAGATGTGAACTTCTTTATTTCAATTTCCAATTGAGAGTATTACTTTTGTTGTTATCATAGGATTGCTTGACTCAGATTTCCAGTATTCGGGGATCTTACAAATTGCTAAAATCTGAAGTACAAATAGTAATAATAATAATTTTGATAGCTACATACCCTGACAGTGACATAAGCAGCAGGTATGAGTCCAATAACAGTTCCCAGGAAGAAAATATGATAAGGCACATCCACGATTGGTGAAGCAAAATTAATAAATGTGTTGGGCAAGGTTGGAGTCAGTCTCAGAAAAAGCATGTAGTTCAGCAGACTTTTTCTTCTTTTAGCCACCTGGAAGTAGAAAGTACAAATTTATTTCCATGTGTAGATTGGATTAAATCCCATATAGTGGAAGAAGTTGAAAGTTGAAATACACCTGGTCTTGAAAGAATTTCAACTTGTCTGGCCAAAGAGAGGAAAGAAGAGGTCTTCCAATCAGCTTTGAAAGGAAAAAGCATGAAGAAGCTCCTGCTGTGGCAGTGAACACAACCAGAGCCACGCCTCTGAAGACGCCAAAGAGTGCTCCAGCAAGCAATGACATGAACACAGTCCCTGGAATCATGAAAGTCTGCATGAAAATATATACCACGCAGTATCCCACCAAGACTTGTGCAGTGTAGTCACTTGTATAGCTCTCAAGGTTATCTCTACAAAAATAAATAAAAATAGATAAAGCATTCCACAATTTATATTGTCAACTTCCCCTTCTACATTCAGGATCCATTCATTACATTTCCCTTTCTACAGAAGCACAAACATAAAATTAAGAGAAATTATATCCACACATTGAAATGAAAAGCAAAGTCAATAGATTGTCTAAAAACATAATAGATCCCAAAATTTAATGCCATTTCCTATTATAAATTAAATTATTGAGAAAATATATCTAGGTTTTCCTAAATCTGGTCAAAATTTTGAAGGATTTGCATCAGATAGTCTCTCTGCTCCATTTAACCCACCCCAAGTGGTATTTAAGCATCAGTCCAACTATACATGCATATGAGCTGTGAAGCTTTGGCTAACACATGATTGCAATTGCAAGTAAAGATACTATCCTTTTGACTCGAAGCACAACCTTCAATTAATCATATTAGCATATTAGCTAGCACCCACAGATAATAACAAACTTATATAGTATCATATAACTCTCACTCCAAGTTGCCCTTTTCTTTTTAAGCTATTGGATCTCTTTCCCCACCAATTGCCTTTCCAGATCTATCGTTCCCAATGAAAACAAAAAAGATAAAGAAAGGAAGAGCTTAAAATTGCCAGGTTCCCCAAAATTTATCCTTCTCTACCACATTCTCCAAATTTATTTGTAGAGAGAGGACACCAATACCATTCCCAAATGGTGGTTTTTTTTTCAACTATCATTATTTGACAGAAATTACGATTCTGGGTCAGATCCATTCAACAAAAGAACCAAAAATAACAACCAGAAGGCTTATCCAAAAAATTAATCACATTTGCAACAAATTAATCATCATGAAATTGAGAAATCAGCTAGTACCGAAAACATAATATCAAAATAAGAGAGAGGAGAAAAAGTTAAAAAGTTTCCCCACAACCAACGAAAACATGGTAAAGGTTGTTTTTTTGTAATATTCATAAACCAAAAAAACAAAACAGAAAAGTGGGGATGGTGGTTGGAACATTACCGTAGGATTTGAAGATCTTGGAGGTTGCGGGGGAGCTTGAGGAAGCTGTAATCGGAATCGGGCATCGTGAGGTAAACACAGAGAAGGCTTACCACGAAACCCAAAGCCACCGTTGAAGCCACCGCGGCTTCCCAAAAGCTCAAAGGAAACTTTGATGCCGTAGCCACAGGTTGCTCCACCGTCCTCATCTCTCTTTCCTTGAGTAGCAAGGGTCCTTCTCTTCTCTTTCCTTGCCTTATCTTCACGAAAAAGAGAGGAGAGGAGAAGAGAGAGGAACAGAACCAAAAAAAACACAAGACGTTGGACAAACAAAGATTATTTGTGGTTGGAGTTTATGAATAAAAATATAAAGCAACTGCCAAACTACTTACTTTATATTCTTAAATTAAAAAATGTTCCCCATTTCTTAAAGTTAAGAAAAAAGAGACGCACATACTTGTTAACACTTGTTAATTTATTTATTTTTCAAAATATATATAGTTGAAAATAATGCCCAAGACCATCAAGCACATTGACCAATTGATGCTTATACACGGCTCGAATTGGATTAATTTGGATCTCGAGTTTGATCAATGTAGGATATGTAAGTTAGCATCGTAACCTCAAAGGATGACAGACTACTATCTTCTACTAAGCGAAGACTTGAAGCAAGAGGAATGATGCGTATCACAATTAAGAAGATTACAGTTTAGTTTAGAATATATATGTACATAGGAGATTTAATATTTTGTTTATCAAAAGATTTTTTTTTTTTTAGAAGTTTATAAAAAGAGTTTAATTTACCTATATAGGCGTTTAACAGAAATCAAACTCTTAATAAATGAGATTTTCTAATATTTAAATTAGAATTACTCTGATTTATTTATTGTCTCTATTGATCCAGAACAATATTCTTTTTTATTTTATTCAGTAAAGATATTAAAACATAATAAATTTTAAAAATATCACAAATATTTTAAAGAAAAAAATATTTGTTCTCTTAAATAATAATTATTTTAGTTAAAATGATTATTTTTATTTAATATTTAAATTAAAAAAATCTCTGACTTTCTCTCACCATAATTTTTATTTGTGTAACTGTTTTTATAGCATAAAATATTATAATTTTAAATAAAATAATACAATTCTATATCCTTTTAAAAAATAAATATTAAACCCTACTTTAAAAAAGAAAATTTATTATTATTTTTTAAAGAGTAAATATATTTTTTTGATCCTTAGCAAATTTCACGATGTCAGCTTTAGTTCCTATCAAATAAAAAGGCTATTCGTGGTCCCTAAGAAATTCAAAATGGACCCATTTAGTTGAAATTGTGATCCCTCATAAATTCAAAAAAGACTCACATTAGTCCCTCAAAAGGATTAAAATCCATTTTGAATTTCTTAGGGTGTGCATGACAACCATTCTATTCCCTAGCACTGTTTCTGAAAAGAAACAATTCTTTTCTATTTCTGTTCCTTGGAACAATTTCTGAGGAAAAAAAAAGTGTTTGATAACATGTTCTATTTTTATTCTGAGAATGAGAATTGTGTTTGATAACATAACAATAATATAATAAAAAATAATTCCTATTAAATATAAAAAAATTTGGATCATCACTTTCCTTTCTATATGGTGTGGTTGTGGCGGCGGTGGTTGCGGCAGTAACGTGGTGATGATAGTGGTGGTGGTTGTGACAGCAATGACTGCGGCGATGACGGTGGTAATGGTGGCGGCAGCGATGGTAGTGGTGGGGATGGTGGTGGTGGAGGTGACGACAGTGGCTGCGACAATGGTAGTGGGGATGGTGGTTGGTGGCGGCGATAATGGTAGCGGTGGCATGGTGGTGGTGGCAGTGACTGCGGCGACGGCGGTGGTGGTAGGTGACAGTGGTGATGGTGGTGGCGGCGGTGGTGTAATGGTGACGATGGTGACGGTTGTGGCTGTGACGATGGAGGTGGTGGTTAGTGGCGGCAGCGGTGTCGGTGGTGGCTGCAACAATGATAATTGTGGTTGGTGACAGTGATGGTGATGGTGGTGGTAGTGATGGCGTTGTGGTGGTGGTAGTGATGGCGTTGTGGCGGTGGTAGTGGCGTGGCGATGACGATGGTGGCGGTGGCGACAATAGTTGCGATGATGGTGGTGGTGGTTGATGGCGGTAGTGGTGATGGTGGTGATATCGGTGACGATGATAGTGGTGGGTGGCTGTGGCATCGTGGTGGTGGGGGTGGTCACGACAGCACTAGTGGTACGACGGCAGCGACGACAATGGTGGCGGTGGTCGTGTTGGGATGATGGTGGTGGTGGTGGTGGTGATGGTGGAGATGGAGAGTAATTAAAAGAGATAAGTGTTTCTCATTCTGTGCCCGGGAACAAAAAAACAGAAATTTTTTTATTCTTTTTTTTGTTCCCCAGCACAAAAATTAATCCGGTTCATCCCGGGAACAAAAAAAATAAACCGATTTTACCAAACGAGTTTTCTATCCATTTCTGTTTCCGGGAACAGAAATTAAAAAAAAAATGATTCCGGGAAGGTTGTCATGCGCACCCTTAGGAACCACGAATAGCCTTTTTATTTGCTATGGACTAAAGCGGACTTCGTAAAATTTATGAGTACCAAAAATAGTATTTATTCTTTTTTAAAAAAGCAACATATATTTTATAGATGAAAACCGTGGGTCCCTTAAAACGACCCGAATACTTATTGGTTTCCCCACTGGGCCACATTTTATTTATAAGATCTATTAATCTCATGTTGCATGAGATAATTATCTCATGCAACAGAAATAAGATTGTGGAGTCCATTATTTTTAAAAAAAAAAAGAAAAAAAAATAATGAACCCACTATTTTGTCTTTGTTACATGAAATAATTATCTCATATATCATGAGATAATTATCTCCCTTTATTTATTTATGTAGAAATTTTAGGCTTAGTGTTCTGATTAAAAACGTTAGGTGAAGTGACATGTAGAGCATGGTAAGCAATAAGCACGTGAATCTGTTAACGTACAAACAATTATTGCCGGACGTCCAATGCGGTATCAGCTACATGCGTTTTGAGTACTCCACGCAACTCCCCCTTTTTTCCATTATGTTTATCACCGTATATTTTAACGAGGAGGGATATTCACATTACTAAAATTTTTTACTATCAATTTACTACCTATCTAATTACCATTAGATTAACATTTTCTCTCTCTTTGATCCAATGGTGATGTGATGAATAGTAAGTTAGTAGTAAGAATTTTTGGTTGTTAGAATATTTTCTCTCTATTTTAATTATGTAAAACAAAACTGTGACTTCTTGTCTCTTTGCTCAAACAATCCTATGTCTTTTTTAAATATTTCTTGTAAGAACTTTCTTTATTTAATGAGGTCATTTTTATTATTGGAAAGCATATTTATTTTAAAGATGGGAATATTCTTATATTACTTATCAACATTATAATATCATGTTATAAAAGGTAAAATAAATTAATTCTAAACAAATAACGGTGAAGGACATTTATTCCTTATTAATATTTCATTATATTCTCGAAAATGAATTATTCTATTATAAGTCAGTTTCCTCTTTCGAATAGGAAAGAATATGCTATCAAAATCAATATGTAATTTTGTAGCACTACATTAATTGAAACATATTAAGCTTCCGTAGCTCAGTCCTCAGTATCACCTTTGGGAGGAGTTTATAAAGCCTTAATTCTGAACCCGCTCCGAATTAGATTAGTTGCGAAGCAATGAACCGATTGGAATATTTTCAAAAAATATATATTAAGCTTCCGTAATATCTTTTGGTTCCTGGAAGGATATAAGCTCCACAATTCTTTAGTTTGATTTCTTGATTTTTTTTAATATTAGACTTTTACATCTTAATTTCATCCTTAAACTATTATCTTGGAGACTTGGACCATGCAAATATGGGATCAAATTAACATATCGCACGCATTGAGAACACAAGAAAACAATCAATACAAAATAATTTTACATTAATAAATAACAAAATAAGCACCAATTTGAAAAATTAAATCATGTTCCTAGCAAAAAAGGATGTAGCCTCTTACAAACACTAAAGCACGCGTATGATTCAAATATACAAAGTTAATTATGAATCTATCACAATAAAGTAAAAGAATGAAGCAGTATATTGATGAAATTCTTCAAGATGCACTTTCTCTTTGGGATCGAGATATCCAACAAGTGGTTGGTAAATGTATCTAGAATTTGTACTCTTGCAGGGGAATTTATGGAAGAGACGCTACAAAGAGTAATAGATTATTGCGTTCAATAATAAAGGTGTATAGCCCAAGGTGTATGGTGTATATACAATGACAACTAAAAAAAAATGAAGTTTAGAGTATATATTTGGTTGACTTAAGGATTTCTGGACCTCTTAAAAATAATATTGAGAGTCTAAAACTTGATCCACTAATAATAGGCTAAGATTGATATCTTTTAGGGAATTTATTTTTATTTTATTTATTTATCTATCTTAGTTATTATGTGCATGAGCTATTAACATGTGGGCCCTTAGGTTGAATCCATAACATATTCTAATTTTAAGTCCTTGTTTCTCTATAAAAGGTCACTCATTCAAAAATCCTTAAGGGGGTGTTTGTTACGAAGATTTTGATAGAATCGTTGGGAAAGTAGAGTGGAAAAAATATGTATACCAAGTTTGGTATGAGATAAGTTGAAAAATATCGGTATAAATTGTTTTCAACGAAAATCTTTTTCAACTAGACATCGGCAAAAAAAATGACGTTTGAACGATGGTATTTATTTTATCCTATCAATGCACAAAATTTTGAGAAGGACCATCTACTAGAGGTGTTTGCGATCTGGATTGGATCGGTTTTGGAAGAAAAACTCATCCGATCCAATCCCTTCGGTTTGATCATGTAATCATCCATTCGGTTAATTTTTTTTTTCAAATCCGATCCGATCCAATCCAATTTTTTTCGGTTTGGATTGGATCGGTTTTTGGTTTTTTGAATATCCTAAAATTAATTTCATGATTATTGTGCAAATAACATCTTTTGTATATATTGGCTTTGTAAAAAAAAAGTGAAATACAAAAATATCAGTAAACAATGCTATGGTTGATGAGACGTTACTAAGTTTTTTTCTGGGTTTAGTTAATGAGTTAATGGGTCTAGAGTTTAGAAATTTTTGGGCTATGATTGGAGAAAGGACAAGTAAGTAGAGGATAATTAATATATTGGATCGATTTTCATCAACCCATCCGAAAACCGATCCAATCCAATTAAAATTTGCGGTTTTCTTTCGGTTTCCGATTTTTCGGTTTTCGGTTTATTCGGTTATCGATTTTTCGGTTCGGTTTTC